TGTCTCAGCTGGTGCGTGTCTGATCAACTGTGAGCACGGTGCTGTGAGTCTGTTTACAGCAGCTTGTGCCTGTGCTTGATTGTAAAATCCTAATCTTTTAAATCTTGGGTCCAGAAGTGTAGAAAACGTCAATGCTGTCTGGTTCTCAGTAGTGTCAAACTTGTTTTGCATTGCTGTTATTAAATTATTTCCCAGTTGCTTAGCAGTGTTGTGTGTTACTGTTCCAATTGTTTTGAACAAGTACAACATTTACATCTTGGTCATTGGGATAACCTTTGACCCTGAGACTCTTTTCTCTTCTGAAAGTTCCACTGTAGCCTGGTAAAAGGGAGCTAGTAACTTCAAGCATGCAGCAGTTGTTTCATAGTCCTCAGAGGACAGAGGCTTTACGTCAGTTTTTAATGCGGCAATAGCAGCCCCCACTGATTGTCTCTCATGGATAAGGCATTGCAGCATGAGAAATGAGCTGTTCCAGCATGTGTGAACTTCCTGACGAAGTTTTTTCACGGGACAATTTAACTGCTCCTGCACTTGTCTGAGCTGCTCTTTGGCTGTTGTGCTGCTTTTAAATAAAGTTACCACTTTTCTTGCCCTTGTACGAAGATCTTTTAGACCAGGAGTTGCATCCAGAGATTTCTTCACCACTAAATTCAATGAGTGAGCAAAGCAGAGTGTGTGCTTCATATTTAAACTTTTGACAGAAGCAACCATATTAGCTCCTGCATCTGTCACCATAGAGGTCACTTTGCCTTGAATGCCCCATTCATCCATGAGGGACTTTGTTGCAGAGCTGATGTTATCAGCTGTATGAGCTTCAGGGAAAGGCAGCACTCCCAAAAGCACTGTGGCCAACTTCATAGAGTCATTTATATGATGGCAGGTTACAGCTAAATATGCATCCATATTCATGGATGTCCACATATCAGCAGTTAGGCTCACAGCCTCTACATTCTGCAACACTGCCTTGGCCTTAGTCTTCTCCTCTTCGTATTTCTGGACCACCATGTTCTTAAGAGTCCACCTGGATGGCAGAGTGTATGTTGGATCAAGCTAAGCCACAAACTCCTTAATGCCACAGTCATCTACGATTGAGAAAGGCTGACAGTCTTTAACCACCATATTCACAAGAGCTTTGTCTAGCTCTCGTTTTCTTTCCACTAAGTTAGACAAATAAGATAAAAATGAAAAAAAAAAAAATTTAATAAATATGTATA